ATATTATATTTGTCAGTTCTCTTGACTTAGATGAAGATCAGATCACATTTTATGACAAATTAATGCAAAAAAACATGAAATTCCAAAAGGTTCACATACTTTTTCTTGCCACTGTATGTAGAATTACAGCAGCTCATCAATCCTCTGCATCATTGCATCCTTTCTAACTTTCTTTTTTAGCAAAAGTAGTATTTCTTGTTTTGAAATGCATTACAGTACAAATGCTGCTAACAATTTATGGTATGATGTAAACTTTTATGACAAGATAGAGGAGTATAAATCTGAAATTCTTTAGAATTTCGGATTAATGGGGCCACAGAAATGGAGGATTTTATCATCATCGCAGTACACATTGAATAAATATCCACACCACCTACCTATGGCAGCAGTTTTGAGGTGTTTGTGTGCTCAGATCATGCTGCTCTACACCACTGAGACGAGCAACTTATTTCATGAAGAAACCTCTTTATGAGCTGCTGTCATCATGTTGTTGCACTTGATTATTTCAGCTAATTCAGAGTGAAAAGACCAGTGATGCAACTGGCTAAAAGTGAGTTTATTACTACGCCTTTCAGTTTATATTCTACATCGCTCAGCCCTTTTGCACTTTGTGCTGCTGCAACTACATGAGAAATGCAACTTGTCCTTGCACTTGTGTGGTTAAAATAAAAAACAAATGAATAAAATTCCACACCGTATTTGCTGTGATTGTAAGAATTTTGACAAGGGGTTGCATGACAAAAGCACGAGTACCTCTTGAGCAGGTAGGGATCGAAAGGGAACAAGCTATCCAGAGGGTTGGTGTTGGTGGTCACAGAGTCTCCGCCTGCAGAGCTGCGAACCACCGGCAGCATGTGGCGGTTGTTCCTCTCTATGATGGTATAGCAGAACACCACCTGATACTTCCTGCAGCAAAAACACATCAACTGCTGTGAATGATAAGGCGGGAAAGTGCCAACAGTATTTTATTGACTGTGGGAGCTTGCTGATGCAGAGCAATGGTTAATTGCACACACTGTTTTATTAAAGTCTCTCACACTGTAATCTGGTAAAACACTGCAATCAGCCACTGTGTGCATTTATGCCTGCTATTAAAGAGTTAGGGCATAAATCACAAGCTTCATCAAAATACGATCTTATTTCAATTCTCTTAGCCAGCAATCTGATGTTTGTTGATACTTTAAACTATGCCATCTGATTTGTTTCGATTTAGGGGCTTGTGAACGATATCAAATGATATGTGCCTATTCCACATAATTAATTAGAGTAATATCGGTAACAGGAGAATTTTACTGCAGTACTCAGTAGGTTTACGGTCACACAGTATTGCTGATAATACTTATGAAGGCTACTTCTACTTCAGTAAAACATTTCATGCAGCACATGTAGTTTATGTTGTGGTATTAGTACTTCCACCAGTACAAGCTGGATACATCAGAATGTTCAGAAAAGTACAGTCCTGGTTGTAACCACCTGACTATGAATCTCAATGGCATTAACAAAATGTAACTAGGTATTCACAATTATAATTACAACCACTCAGTATGACAAATATCAATATGGATAACTTCAGCAAATGACAGAGCAGGGACAGTTTGTGTATACCTAGTAATGGCAGCAAACATGCTGGTGACTGAAGGCAGGCAGACCTTGAGAGGGTTCAGCTGACACATTACCACCCGCTCCAGATTCAGACTCTGCAGGTACTCCAGACCTGACAGACATACACACACAAAGATACAATGCTAATGGCAGGAAAAAAACAGCAATATGTAAGCAGTCAAGTTGTGTATACTGTACCTTTTTTCATGTTGCCCTCCAGTATGCCTCTGTGTCTAAAGATGAGAATGTAGAAGGCGGCCTGGCAAGCACAGTAGAAGGGCCCATGCAGGTTGGTGTCACAGCAAATCTGTCTGCTGTTGCTGTCCTGGTCATCAATGTATCGATGGATCCAAGAGAGCAGCAGGTTGAGACAGGCCCGCACAGTACTGTAGGAGAAGGGACAAGAGAGAGGAGGATGACAGTGGATTAGAACCAAAGGTGGTTGATCATGGACACAGAAGAATAACCTCCTCAGTGTGTCTTTAAGTTGCCTTTGTGTTTTCTTAAGCACAAACAACATACAAACTCACGAGACAGGGGTGAACTTTGCACGAGCCAGGAAGCTTCCCAGGAATCCAGCAGCAGCCTGACGGAGGACAGCAGGCTGGGACAGACTCTGCAGGATCTTCCACAGGTGATCTAAGAAGGCCTCGGCCAGAGCCTGTGAAAAATAACACACAAAAAAAACCAATACATACAGGACTTACAGAATCTCAAAATGTGTAAATACACTACTTCAACACAGATGAAACAAGTAAATAAAGAAGACCTTATATTCAAGAACAAAGATTCTATTTTCCTCAAGGTGAGTCAGAATTAGACACTTGATCATTGATAAATGTACCCCACAGTGTAGTCTGAGTATTTGGACAAAGACACTTGGTATGACCCCAGAGCATCCTGGATTTGGAATGTGACTATTCCTTCTGCACTAGCTCTCCCACAGCAGTAGCACATTGGCTGCTGTCCTCCTCCTTCATCTCTTTCTTTTGGTATCTCTTCCTGACCCTTTCAGCACTGGCTGAAACCAATAAATATTCGAAACAAATCAACTGAATTGCTAAACACACCGATCAGACTGATCGGCTTTCCCATGTGTTTTTCGATATTCCCCTGAACTGAGAGGCAAACATTCCGCATCAGAATTTATGAACTAGCATTAACTTTATCTACTTGCAGAGCAGTCCATGCTATACACAGCATGCTAACCTAGGCAACAGGTGTATTCTAATGTTAGCTTACTAGCTTACAATAACTTATTAGAATAACTAATAACTTATTAGAAGAGCTGGATCTCAGTGACTGACAGCAATGTGTTAAAAAACAAACATGGAGAGGAGGAGCTGTTCACAGATGGTCTGTTATCATTGTTGTTGTGTTTGTGTGCGTGAGAGACAGGAATAGAGTAGATCACGGAGGGACTGAATCCATAAATGTGCTATGTATGGTACTTCACTGAAATGATTTTTACCCATTTTAAATCAATAGGTGGTGGTCAATGTTGATATTGTGGCGGCCTGCCACAAATCAGCCAATGTATGGGAAACACTGTACTAGAGAGAAAACCAACAGCATTCTGACTGTCACATAGAGAGACAGGGGGCACTGTCATATGTTTATGTCTCAACCAACCCCTTTAGCTGCTAAACACTCCACTATATTCCATCTCTAACTATGTCTGTCTGTTGTTGGTGTAGTGGTGCAGTGGGTTTATCAGAGCTTTTTCACTGAAACAGCAGCTAGCTGGACATGAAAAGCAGCTTGATGAGAGCAAGATTTGCCAGTAAACCAAAATAATACTCAAAAAGAGGATAAAAAGTTCTGTAGAGCTAAATGGGGATTTAGTGAGTAGTGGGTTTGTAACAAGAAGTGATAACTCTCACATGAGAAATATTCATCTGGTCAGTTGTTAATATAAAAATGAGTGGTGCAGCTTCGAAGGGTTTTAGCATTCATGTTTAATGAACAGCAGGATAGTGAGCCTAAACATTCAGATAATACAACCAAGACCCCTAAAATCAGCCCAGTGTGTCTCTCTGACTTGAAGGCTAAATGCTAAATACTGCAGTTTCCTATCATTATATATTCAAAGTACAGGGAGTACTGACCAGTCTGAAGCTGCAGAGGTAAAAGAGCGTGTATTGGATGTGACAGGAAGCGTATGTTGGCAGAATGAGCTTGTCAAACACACTTAACAAATCTTTGTACAGTTCCTTAGTCTTTTCCACATGAAGAGAACCTAAGAGAGAAAACAAAGCACTTTAAAGCCAAAAATGTTCATTTTACAAGGCTGCAAATGCTTTTACATAAACAGAAAATTACACATTTTATAATATTCAAAAATGTATTTTTTGTAAGTCTTCTAGATGGGTTTTACTGAATCAGAACCAACTCCCTCCTGTTGAAAAATGTGGTCTAAACACTGGTCCTCAGTGGTAAAGCTGTGTTATATATCTACCATTGACATGGCAGACATCTTTGATGTAAGCCATCAGCACAGTCATGAGACTGTCCAGCCTCTCAGCCACTGGATGAGCCATCACAGTCGTCCTGGAGGACTGATCAGCTGACACATCCTCATCCTGATAACCAGACACACATAGATGGAGAAAGGCTGTCAGGATGGGAGAAAAACATGAAGAAAAAAGCTTTTTTGTAAAAAAAAAAAAAAAGTTCATTTTAACACCAACTGCAGAAAATATTTTTCTGAAATAAATATAACTACCATAAGCTCCATATTCTTTTTAGTACTATAACCAATGCTTTAAATCCTCCTCAATTTGCCTTTAAAGGTGCTACACCTGATATCTGTGAGAAATGTCAATCTTTTGTTGAGGAGGTTGTGAATATTAAGGAACAAAGTCCTTCTACCTTTGACCCACACTCCACCGCTGCCTGCTCTATCACTTTCACACAGTTCGAGCCAGTGTTTCTTTCCCTTTAAAAAGAGATTATTACCCAATTCAAACCCGCAAACTGCTCTACTGACGTTGTCCCTCCTTGACTTCACAAAGAGATCTTTGATACTGTCAGATCTTCTATTCTGACAATTTTAAAAAGCAGTTTGATATCTGGGAGTGTTCCATTAGTCATTAAGCATGCCATAGTGCAGCTGCAAATTAAGAAACCTCCAACCTTTCTAATTTCAGACCTATCTCCAAACTCCTGATTTTATCAGAACACCTGGAAAAAGCAGTGTTGGCACAACTTCCATGTTTTCTAGACAGGCATGGTATCTTAGGGGTTTTTCCATTATAGGAACCTAATGAAACAAGTGACACTCATCACAGGTTCTGTGTTTGTTTCCACCACTCTCGACCCACTTTGGAGGGACCGCGAAGGGAAAGGAGGTGTGTGCATGCAGAGCAGTCACCGGTGATTGGTTAAATGTCTGCATCTTCATACCTCAAGCATTAGCATCACAAGCACCAGTTGTAAACACACAGCTGACTGCATGTGTGAGACGGCAGCAGCCCCTCCCTCCTCTAAACAGAGACCAACAGAGAGAAAATATAGTGGAAAATCAAAGCAAAACTGCTTGGTGATGGTTAAGGGAAGTACGGGGTATACTGCTCATTAGGTTCCGAATAAGGACATGCAGCTTTTGAGATACAGAGCCACCGAACTGAACCACAGCGCTGAATCTGCACTCCTTAAAGTTTTTAATGACATACTGAGTCAGGAGATTTTGCTGCACTATTGCTTTTAGATCTCTAGAGCATTTGACATGGTAGATCACAAAATCCTTATCTCCCACCTTGAACATTCCGTAGGTGTTTCTGGTACAGCCTTGCAGTGGTTTAGGTCCTATCTATCTGACAGAAGTTTCTCTGTTAGCCTTGGTGACTCCATCTCCTCTACTATGCCTCTGTCCTATGGTGCCCCCCAGGGATCCATTCTTGGTTTGACTTTATTTTATTTTATGATTTACACTCATCCCTTAGGGTCTACCATCAGAAAAAATGGAATTTACTTTCATTGTTTTGCTGATGAGCTTCAAATGTATCTCCTCTTGAAGCTGATGGGAAATAACTATTTAAAACCACTGACAGACTGCCTAGTGGATATTTACAAAAATACAAAATTTTCGATGTTTTATCTTACCATGTATTATCAATTGCTCCTGTCTCAAAGACCCAGCACAAGCACTGAACATTTCAAACTAAGAATCTCCCACAAAAAAACAGAAAACCCATGCTTTTACCATGTCAAAGAGTCCCTCCTCAGTCTGCTCCTCTGCCCTTTGGTTCTGCATTGCTTTCTCCTCTGCCTCCTCAATGTCTGACCGAGATGCACTCACCTGAAATATACCACAGATAATGTTACAAATCAGAGGAGGGACACAACTCACTATTTTCCACTGGAAGATTTTATGTGTTTTCCATCATAACTACATGACCAGGGCTGTCAGTCAACTCGGATTTGGCTTTTCAGTTCAACTATATATCCTCAGTGGGGAACTTTTCATACCTGTATACCTGCTAATTTTCATAGCTGTTTAAGAAGGTAAATAACTCAGTGATGTTCAAAAAACAGAAGAACAGAGCTCTTGTCAGAAAATAGGTGAATTCGTGTAAATGCTGCTTAGCTAGGGGTTCTATCTATAATCATGTCAGGAAACAGTACTTATTTCTGTAATAGTACAGTACAATAACCTGTTTGTGTAAAATAACATTTTTTATTAATTACAGTTACAGTAGATGTATATTATATATACACCCTCCAAAAATGATGAGCCCCTGCTCTGTGCAAAACCAATTTGCTACTCAAATAGAATATGAAGACCCTTATGTGTGAAATTCAGGTCTGCATGTCTGGGTGGATTCTTAATGAGATAAGCAAAACCTGAAACATTTTTTTGATCAACTCAAGAGGAGTTATTCATAAGAATCTAATTCAAATTAAAGCTACTCATCTTACAGAACAAAAAACAGGACAATCAAATGTAGACTATTAAATATCAGATATTTAAAAGGTTTCTTTTCAGCACTGTAGCCAGGCTGACAAAGAGCCACAGTGCTGTTGAGCTTAATATTCCCTTAGATCTCAGCAGTAATGACTTCATGAGCTTCTTCATAAATAAAATCCCAAACTATTAGAGAAAAAAGTCCATCACATCCTTACTACAACTCTCACAGATATATCAAGTATAATTGCTTTAGAAACATCTGTGAGACCTCATTTATATTTAGACTGCTTCTCTTCCATAGATCTCTCTGAGCTGACCTCAACAATTGCTTCATCTAAATCATCAACGTCTTTAGACCCCATCCCGACCAGGCTGCTCAAAGACGTTTTACCCTTAAATCAACACGTCCATTTTAGATATGATCAATCTCTCTCTATTAAAAGGCAATGTTCCACAGGCTTTTAAGCAGGGTTTCTGCAGGTTCCATCAAATTAAATTTAAGACTTTTAACCTTTTTTAGACCACTTTGAATGGAATTTAAGCCCTACTTCCAGGGTGTGAACTGCCCCAAAGAAGGTAAAAATAACATTTTTGGATTTGGGGGGGGATTCATAGACTGAAGTAGCATCTCACAGCCTATGTTATCACACCCTGATCATAGCATTCCAAGTAACCCACCACTTGTAGTGAGTGACAGCAGTGCACAAACTGTGCAGCAGTCTGACTAACTTTACCTGCTGTTTGTCAGGCTTCAATTGAGAGGGGAATGCGTTGTTTTCAGTTCAGTGTTCAGGTCTCGTTAAACTTGCACTTCCCCATAAGCAGATGAAAAAATAAAAACAGCTACTGATGGACTATACACTGTGTTATCTCACATACCACATATAGTCAATTACCACAACACACTCCTGAAAAGTTTGCACATGTTCTTGTTCCAAGTTGGTTTGGTTTGGTAGATTTACTACAGCATGACAAACACAAACTGATAAAATAAAGAACTACAATATGGAAGCAACATACCACAGGCAGTGCTGCTTTGTCGCCTAAAAATTTTCCCAAAAATACATAAAAGCACAATTCAAGTTGATGTGACATTAAGTAAAATTAACTTAGCTTTAAATAATCAGTCAAAGCATGATACATTTTTAAGACCTATCATAAATCATATTTAAGACCTTAAGGCCTAAAATTCAAATTATTGGATTTTAGACTTTTTACAACTTTTTAAGGTCCTATCACTTTATACATGCTCCCCTTTGGCAATATTATTAGGAAACACAGCATACATTTCCATTCTACACAGATAATACTCAGTTATATTTATCTATGAGCCCAGATGAATTAAATGTCAAGCATGACTTAGGGACATAAAGGCATGAATGACCTGTAATTTTTTTACTTTTAAACTTAGATAAAACTGAAGTTAATGTACTTGGGCTTAAAAGGCTTAAAAATATGCTATCTAACAATATAGTTACCTGAGATGGCATAGCACTGATCTCCAGTACTAATGTGAGGAACCATGGAGTCATTTTCAACACGAAAATGTCCTTTAAATCACACATAAACCAAGTCTCTAGAACTGCCTTCTTTCCCCTGCACAATATCACCAAAATTAGAAACATCCTGTCTCAAAGTGATGCTGAAAAACTGGTCAATGAAATGTTACTTCCAGGCTGGACTACTGTAACTCTTTACTATCAGGATGTCCCAATAATTCCCTAAAAAGCCTCCAGTTATTCCAAAATGCTGCAGCCAGAGTACTGACAGGAACTAGCAAGAGATCATATCTCTCCCATATTAGCTTCTCTCCACTGGCTCCCTATAAAATCCAGAACAGAATTTAAAATCCTTCTAACATTCAACCCCTTAATGACGTGGTACTTGTGGTTCCTAGTCTTTGTCCTAGTCTAAGATTAGACTTAAGACTTTCCTTTTTGATGAATCTTATAGTTAGCTTGATATACCTTTGTCCTATTTTTTGTTATTATACCATTATATACAGTATTTTCAATATAATACTAGCAGGACAGTGAGGGAGGATAGAAAGGCAGTTAGCATGTTGTGTTATGTCTTCTGATATTTTATGGAGATATAACAACAAGTGTGGTTGAGCACACGCTGGCAACCATCTTAGTAACTACTAGCAAACAGAGGGCCTGCGCTGTCTTGTTGCCACTGAGTATATTTAACCATACCACTTTACTGTTAAAAGTTATTATAAAACTGAGATTTTCCTCCTTTTTACCCCATAAAGCACTTTGGATGAGCTGTGTTGTGTTTTAAATAGATGTATTTGGTCCACTCACATCCAGTTTGAGCATCTTTCCAATGATCACTTCCAAAATTTCTCGTCGGAGGGATGATATATAAACTGTAACCCTCAGGAGGTTGTGGACGTAACACTCCTGTAAAGAACACCAAATTACCAGTCAACAAAACACCATGATGCTAATCAAAGCAGAACCTAACTGTGTGAAATACAACATATTCAGACTAGCATTAAGGTATCGAAAACAATGTGCATGGCACATATACATTACAATATTCATGCAAGTATAATGTTCATCAGGCTGAATTAACTAAACACGTTTTTCATAAATGAAGAGGACGCTTCTGTGGCAAAATGACCAAGTTCTATTTTGAGATTTTTCTTTTACATTTCCACAGCTTGTTTGAGCCTTCCTTGTGTCACTAATGTCACCACATACAGCATTTTCTGGCTGAGCTCAGTGATATTTATTAATTCAAGCTTGCTGCTGTTGGATGCCGCTAACATGCATAATATATACCCAAGACACTTTTAAATGTAATGTGGTACAACATTCACAATGGTCCTATGTCAGAATTGAGAAAGCTGTCTGACCTGCAGCATCGTTTATTTGCCACTTACAAGGGTTCTGGAGGATTTCTGCATGAAGGGGAAATTCTCTTGCAGAATGGGCATCAGAAAATAACTTGTGCTGAAAACCGACAGTACAGTAATATAAAAATACACATAAAACAAATCATTGTCTGTGAAGACCTGTTGAAGACCATGTTATCTGTACACAATGATAAAATACACACTGGTTGCTGTATGTTCAAAAGTACAGGGTGTTAGAGTATGTTTTTAAAACAGAGCCGTACAATTATATCTGCACACAGCACAGTACAATACAGTTGAGCAAATATAAAACTTTTCATTATGACAGTATTTGATCACAATTGATTACTTATACACGTGTCTCTGACACTCTCTCTCTTGTGTACTGTACAGTACACGGACTTATTGATAACAGTGTTGTCTGCACTTTTACAAATATAAACTAAAGGACTCAGTATTTGTTTATTTACTTGGATGTTTGTTAGCTGTTAACCGCACAACAGCTACTGTTGTTGGCATCCACAGGAAAAGTTATTAACTATAGCAATTTCATGTAAATATGTGAATTGTTATTACACAGTAAAAATAATATTACACACTTACAGTCAGGTCCATAAGTATTTGGACAAGGACACAATTCTTGTTATTTTTCCCCTATACTCCAACACAATGGATTTGAAATGAAGCAGTTAATATATTTTAGAAGCATAGACTTTCTGCTTTAATTTAGAGGATTTCACAAACACACTGCATTAACCATTTAGGAATTGTTGCCATTTTTATTCATAGACCCATATTTTTAAAAGCCCAAAAGCAATTGGTCAAACTAACATAAAATATATACAGTATATAATTATTAACACTTGGACACAAATTCTTTACAGTTAATGACTGTAAATGCTTTGCCAGGCCTACTACAGCTGCCTTCAGTTGCTGCTTTCTGCTTTCAGTTTTGCCTTCAGTAAGTGAAGTCATTTGGGGTGAGGTCAGGTGACTGACTCAGCCATTGAAGAACATTCAATTTCTCTGCATTGAGAATGTCTTGGTAAATGGTCTTATACTTATATGGGCCCTTTCTACACAATGAAGCATGCAAAGGGCTCTACACTATTTCCCATTCACCCATTCGCACACACACACTAATATTATAGGCTGATATGAGCTAACTGCAGATAAATTAGTATCAGTGTTTATAAGGTCCAGTTAATGACAACTAAAAAAATGGAGAGAAGGAATATGGCTCCTTCTATCATGTTATTACGGTTGTTGTTGCCTAGTTTGCCCAGCTCCCCTCTTGCCATTGTTGGAACAAATCACAACAATCAGCTGACCCAGGCAGAGTGGAGTGGAGCACAGATATACAAGCACCTGAATGTGTTGTACATTGGTAGTCCAACTGCCATGTGAAATAGCTACAGTACTTAAATAATAGTAAAAAATGTTCCCTGTCTCATCTTCTCTCAGCCTAAAAAAGCGTGAAAACATTCATGGCAAGCTTTTGCTGTAGTAACATGCTGTTGAACTTCAGAATGACATTGAACTAGGGGCAGAACGGTTCACAAAGGAACATTTGCCCATGGTCATAAGTGAAGACAATCTTCAGATGTCCAATGTTTACTCTTAAAATTAAATAAAAATGTTTAAGATTCATTGCTTGCGGAGAGCATAGACCTCGTTGTGGTCACAGACTTCACTCATGCTGGTTTGGGGACTTCACTGAACACACCGTAGGCAAAGTGGCAAAGACGCCACACTTCTGAAAAATTCTGTTTTGCTTGTTGAACAGAATTTTGCAGATCTGCTCATACAGTCTCCATTACTGGATGATTATGTTTCATGCACCATGATTAACGAGGACTGTGAATGCTGATTTGATGGTCTCTACTCACCTGTATGTAAGTGACCATGTGAGGGGCGCAGTTTTTCTCTAGTGTAAGCAGACATTGGAAGAGCAAAGCGCCCTGACCACACCAGCCCTTCAAATTTTCATTAAATTCCCATGGATGGAAAAAAACATCTCCTGCCATGGAAAACAGCCTCTCACTTGAAAATGAAGTCCCAGGCACAGTGAGGTAGTGCTTTAAATTAGATGTCTTAATGTTTAACTTTTTCTGCCGAAATGAAGTAATGGAAAACATACTGTGTGTGTGGCTCACATACTGGTATTTACAGTCAGTGCACTAGAAATGATTAAACCAAAGGGAACATTTAAAATAAGCAGAACTGAACAACTAGCCTATCCAACATGGATCGGTTCTCGTTTCAGATAGTCACATGGTATGAGATGCATTCAATAGCAGTATTTACTCTAGGCATGTTGTAGACTGTTTAAACTGTTTGAAAGATCATTTCTTGTAGCTCACACAGGACCGAACTAAAAGAGTGCTAGTGATTTGACTATGAAGGAGTGCCCTGATTATTATGAAATAACGAAGGAACATGCCACACTTGGCCATGAAACTGCTTGTCAGTCAACTGTTCAATCACTTTTGAGCCCCTGAAAATGGGAATTTGTATAAAAATGGCTGTAATTCCTAAATGGTTAACGCAATATTTTTGTTAAACCTCTTGAATTAAAGCTGAAAGTCTACACTTAACATATAAACTGCTTCATTTCAAATCCATTGTGGTGGTATACAGAGGTAAAATTACAAAAATTGTGTCCTTGTCCAAATACTTATAGAATATTTATATGCACATACATAGATAAATACACATATATAGTAATTAAAAGAGGCAATTAGATTCCATGTTAAAAAATGTCTTTTACTGCATATGATAATTCAAACTCAGAAAATAGAACTGAAGTGACAAGAGGATTAAAGGATTTCAAAATGCACCTGCAGTGTCTTGAAATTTTTGAATTATGTTGAATAAAAGACTATTTTTCTAGTCATATATTTCCTTCTTAAAGATTTCTTTAAAATTGTATTAAAATATCATCTCATCTCATGAGCGAAGTGTATCGTCACACCCCTAGTCAGCAGTATTGTAGCATACACATTAAACTAGCCACTGGCTACCACCCTAAAACAAAACAGTAAATATACTTCCATTTTTATTACATATTACATTTTGACAAATGGTTATACTGACACTGATTTAATAATCAGTAATCTGGTTAAATGAAAACAACATTTTGCTAATTAGAAATTCAGAGCATCAAATGCAAAACACATAAACTTGCAAATTTATAAAAAAATATATATATACTTACGATGGAACATATCTGGCGATGAGCTGCAAAGCCTGGTGACACTGATCAAAGTTTCTGGGGAGGTCTTAACAAACAAGAAATGTAAAGTATTCATTAATTTCTATTTAACCAAAGAATTTAGGGTGACGGTGTAAGCAATTCTCTTATGGAGCTCTTCCCTCTCAACCTCCCCAAACTTCAGCTAGCAGCCAAAAACATCACGTAAAAATGTTGGTCAGATGTAAAATACGCTCACAGTTCTGAACCATGGTACAGTGCGTTAATGATGTTTAAATCAACAATAAGTGGTCTGACTGCCCCTACAGCTGCTAAGTGTAATTCACTGACATAAATATCAGTTGTCCGTTGACCCCTCCTCATGGACAACAGTACATGTGTATTTGTTTACAAACTTAAACTGGTACTGAACCAGAGTTCTGCCTCTTGGCTTCTATACTCTGACAGTGATACAAGTTAAATAGTGCAATAATAGACAATCTGGGCACACAGTGGCAATAGCAGGGATGCCATTCACCTTATAAGAAGTGAGTCTGTCATAAAAATTGTGTTATTTTAATGTAAAAAGTTATGTATTGTTGCTTTAAAACAACCACTTGATAAATGCAAATTGCATAAAAAATAAAAAGACACTTACTTTCATCTTCATCGTCTGAATCAGAAATATCTATTCCTCCTTCACAGATGGTCACTCTCTCTAGAAACAAGCACATATATTATTTCTTATGGCGTCACTAATGGTAGAATAGTAATGTGATGTGATACTTTAAATGGCTATTGTTTACCTTCTCCCTTTCAATACACATGCACACCAAACCGAAAATATGCAATGATGACAATTAGATGATAAGAATACTTTACTTCTTTGTGAGCCCCTGAATTTAGAATTTAATTTCTGGAACACTGGGTTATTTTAACACCAGTCGGGGGAACATACTGGGAGTGAAGTAAGAAACCACCATCTTGAGGCAGGCACACAGGTAGACAGTCTGTGCTGACACCAGATTACTGAGGAAGGCCATGTACTCCTCCACCACAGCCTGGCTCCGGCCAACCCATGGAAGCCTCTACAAAAGAAAAAAATAAATAAAAAACACACACACAAATGCAAGCAGAAATTCCAACACTTAAGAGGAGTCCGATTATTATTTTGCCCCTGACTTTTGGCTAGTAATGGATGTCTGATGATGAATTATGTTGATGATTTAACCCCCACTTTGGAATACAAATAATTCAGTGTTAAAAGAATTATAAACACTTTTTTTTTTCTTATCTTAACTTATTGAATGCTTAATGAGTCATTCTTGATAAATCAACAGAAAATGGGACAGGATGTGGTTTCTCTACTGCTACTACTGTTGTTTCTACTACTTCCCTCCATGACACTCTGCTGCCTTCTGTTGTATTTCTAGCTTTTCAAAACTGTCCAGTCTGTAAATTATCCCCAGCAAGTAGTAATTTCAAACACCCAAACCACAAATACCTCTAGTCTGCTACGAGTCTGAAGCAACAGCTGACAGACCGATGCACAGAGAGAGTTCTTGTAATTTCTCACAGAAGAAGTGGACAGCGTCACGTCTTATTGTTCAAAACCCAAAGATGTTCAATTTATAACAAAGGAAAGCAACAGCTCTCTCCTCTGAGAAGCTGGAGCCAGTAACTGCTGGGCATGTTTGCTTAACTAAAACTATTTTCCAAATTATCAGAATAGTTGCAGGGTGGACAGTGGCAAGCACCGTCTCTTCGCAGCAAAAAAGTTCCAGGTCTGAACCTCATGGCCAGCTGGGGCCTTTGTGCATGCTGTTTGCATGTTCTCCCTGTGCCTGTGTGCCAGATACTCTTCTGGTTTTAAAAATGACTTAGAAATTGCTTGCTTTATCTGAACAACAGTAAAACAAGGCAAATAAAGCTGCTAATTCTCACATTTAAAAAGCTGGAACCATAAAATTTTAAACTTTTTTGCTTGAAATATGACTTAAGCAAGTAAATGATCACTGAAATAACTGCTGATTAATCAACCAACCGTTTCAGCTCCTAACATGGTACAAGTCTCATATGAGTTGCTCACCACTGCAGTTGAATATGAAGAACTACAACAAGCACTTTTCAAGTGTTTGACCTGGTCTATACTCACCAAGACAGTATAGATAAGCTGTTCGTGGTCCTTGGTTAGCTGGGTCACACAAACCCGAAATTCCTGCAACCAGTTAATGATCTGAGCATCCTGTCAGAGGAGAAAGCTTGTTGAGAAACAAAGCAACATGCAAACCACTGCACCTCTAACTCTGTTTGCTCCCACTAGGACAGGAATGATCATCCATGTCATGCATCTCTCAATCCTGTCATCTCTTTTTATTCAGGCTCTCTGTTCTGGACCACTGACTGTCCTGAGACCCAGGCTGCCGCTGCCTCATTTCCAGTTGTTTTGGATCTTGATCTTCATCCTGCAGAAGGCCCTTGCTTCTGTCTTGTCTCTCTTTCCTTCTCTTGTAATCACATTTCCTTGTCTCACTCTTCTGTGTATCTATTTTTATTTCATTGGCATTAATTTGCAGAAACCTGTTTTCACTTTGACTTTAAAGATGGATTTTGTAATTTTTTTGTCCATTACTCTTGCTCTTCCTGAGGATTCTTCCATTTCTGTTAAAGGTCTTTTATGGGGCAAATTTTTCTTTGCCCGGTTCAAAGATCTAAAAACAGCGGGTGTCACATAACTTTGTGTACATTTTGTAACGCCGATTGAAGGAAATTTATGATATGTTTGATTGGGCTATATAAATACCACAGGACATACTGTCATTAACACTGAGTCCGAGTCACTGCGAGCATGGTGATGCTTTACTGCATGTTACCTTTATCTCAGGATCAGCCAGCTGATGTTTCAGCAATTCATAATCACTTGAGTCTCCCTTCAAACGAGAAAAGAAACAATAAATAATAAACTGAATGCTGCCAAACAATTCACGTTTAACTTAAAACAACAACAAAGAGCCTTTATTCATCATTACCAACTTTCAGAAATACAAGTGTTCAGATGACGTAAGCTAACTAGAATTCAACAAAGTCCTAATTTTAACTAGAAACGTTACAACTCACCCTTTTATGTTTCGTTAACGTTTCCGCAACACTGCATCCAAACCTAACAGTCTTCATTGGAGGAGTGTTCAAAAAATCCAGCCCGTCTATTTCCATATTTCACTCCGCTCATGGAAAAGGTAACGTTATGTAACTGCTATTTTTGCTAAGCTAACGTTAGCTGCTCATACGCTAAAAAGCTCCAGCTGAACAGGAGAACATGAGCTGGTGTCATTATATTTCGTCACAAACAGCCGAATGTTTAAGGGTAATATTAATACATTTCAGGAATTTATTACAACACTTTCAAAATAAATTTCAGACTATGCTATAAATAAACAAGACCATGTGTGAACTCTAGTTTTGAAACAGGAAGAGAACGGTGTATTTACGGAAGTGAATACAGAACATCGGTGTTGCACTTAAGGTTTTCCCATAAGCTTGACTCACAAGGTTAAGGGTTCCGGGTGGCGCATACAGCATATAGGGATGCACCGATAACACTTGTTTTAGTTAGCCTACAAGTATAAGTATTTGAGAAGCCTACTCGCCGATACTGAAAACAAGTACTTAAAAATAATGCTGTTTCTTCTACAAAAATTACAATTGCCATAAAAAACGAGGATTTATTTCATGCGATTTGCCTTCTCATACAATATACCAGGAAGCTGTACAAATCTGAGAACTTTTTTTTTCTTAAACAACAATGCAAATCAATACAACATTTATCAGCATAAATTGTTGCAACAGATGTGCATTTAGATGACAACTGGACAAAAGTAGGCATAATATAACAAAGTGAAAACGAATAGCAGAACCTAACAAGTGAGAACAAAGAAAAGAAAATACAAAGAGGCAAGACTATTCTGATATAAAATTTAAATGTTTGAGGAGGTCAATGGTTTTGTTTTTTTGTTAGGGTGGTTTAATTGTGACAGTGTTTGGTAACTAAATTTTCATTACTAGAGAAACTGGGCTTGTCAAAAATTAATAATATATCATATTTTTCAAGTACAATTTCCTTACCAAAATAATTTTTATATTTTATCCTCATTTTGTGTAGGTTAACTTAGGAGTTTTACTTTTGTTTGGCTGTGTGCTGCCTTTTGGATTATGTACTGTAAGTGTGCTGGCCCATTAAAAGTGATTTTCCTTTCTATCTTGCTCATCTCTGTCCATGATTCCACTCCCTACATGGCAGACCAGAAACTATACAAATGGACAAGTTTTTGTGGCTCATGAGCCAGTGGCTGGCCAGGAAACAGCGCCCTCTATAGTGGCCGGGCAGTGGACAAACACTGGCATGCCACAGGTATAAAAATATTGCCAAGTCCTACTAGAATTTGGAGAGTTAATTTTGGAACTCCATAGTGTTCACAATTAAATGAGACATTAAAGGGCACTGGACACAGGCAGTGTGTGACTCGCAGAAAAACACCTGCATCCATTAGATTCAATGAAAGCCCACACATCAGCGGCAAACTGATGCATGTCACCACAGGTTAATGCGTGTCAGTATGTTAGGATACTGATTTGTCCTATTTTTTCAAAGTTGACTTGTGTCAAAAGTATAAAATACTTAATCTGTGTTATGGAAGTCATGTGACACAGTGCGGTGCCCTTTAGAAATAACTCATTATTTGACTATATACTGTACCTGGCACTGACAAGATAGAACAATTTTAACAAAAGGCATTTTGACATTTCATAGTAGGAAAACAGGAGGTAGTACTAATAATGGTAATGATGGTTGTGTTTCAAATTCTACAAGTTGTCACAATAAATTTGTTTATCATCCTTCAACATGGAAAGTGGTTGAATAGACTTATTTGTAGTATACCTGGTTATATAATCATGTTGGCATAACATTTGTATGTAGAGCACAACTACAGTCAGAGAAAAGGAAGAGGAAGTATAATAAAGCCAGCTGGTTCCAAAGGTTAGACACTGAAGCTTGTTATCAGTGTGGGTGAGAACAAACCTGCTGTTCCACAGTAATATTCTGTTTGCCAACAGTCACCAGCTCATGTTTGATTTGATTACATTTATAATCTGTTTTGTGTAACATGTGTAATCTGTTTCTGTAACATGTTGACTGCTGCTACAACTTTAAGTGCCCACAGTAATCAATAAGTTCCAGAAATCATAATCATACTCTTTAGAAAGGTAAGGGTGAGACCATAAACCTGAATCCACTTGAGCTGGTAACCTAATCCAGATCCAGTTCTCAGCAGAAGCTGCTCCTGCTTGGTGAAGTCTACTTATACCCTGTTGTTTTTATTTTGTAGTTTACTATACTAAGATAAAGTTTAGGAAGGTAGAAATCAATGGCTTTTTATTTCAGACCTCAAGAGGAATACTAGTTGGTTTCTAAGGTGGTGCAGGGTTTTGGTATCCATTGTGTCTCAGGTACGCAGACATCTCTGTGTCGTTGTCATTACCAGCTATGACTGATAGAGCTGACACCTGCAGTTTTACATAACCTCCACTACATCAAGTGATTATTACACTCAACATCTTTATATAAACATTTGAGATATAGACAACTGAGCTGGTTGAGTTATTATACTTCATTTCTGTAGCAAATTATGTAATTTGTTATAATCAGTAAGTCAATGTCAAATTTATTTATATAGCACAATTTAAAACAAGCACACCTGACCAAAGAACTGTACAAACAGAAGCAGAAATAACAAACAAGATTAAGACTACTTGCAGAGTAAAACAATTTGAAATAAATAATCACAAGACAGAAAATTAAAATACAGTAAATAAATAACAGAAGCACAAAAGTTTAAAATAAGGTGTCTTTACTCAGCTGAACACCAATGAAAACAGATGAGTCTTCACCAGAGATTTAAAGAGCCCATGGCATGCTTTGCATAGTTTTTTGACATATCTACAGTGTTACAATGGTGAATTATCATCATAGACATGATTTAAACCTGTACGTATGTTCTAGTATTTCTATGCAGAAGCAACTCTGTTCATACAAGTCTTGCAAACTCTTGCTTGTGAGACTTTTGTCCTAAAAAAAAATAAAGTATTACATGGTTTAAGGACTTCCTTGAATGGTCATAATCTCCAGGCAGTTGCACGTTCATGTGAGCTTGCCTGACATCCACTGGTGTCCCCACCATATTGGCAAAATATTTTATTGCCTTATTTGTTATGTATATTTTCAATAAAACTTAAAAAAAAGAAGGCATCCATTGGTGCTATTTTAAAAGTGGAATTTTTAGACTGCACCCAGTTTTGTGGATATACAGTCTTATGCAAAAGTTTAGGCACCCCTTGATAAATAACAGATTTTGGTGATTTTTTATTTGAACAGATGTTAACACAGTTTCTCTTGGAAATGGAAAAAATGCACAATATTTTCAGCAAACAGTGATGCATAGTTACTTCTTATGCCATAAATTGAACAAAAATAAAAAATAAAAACATTATTATGGCATGGTGCAAAAGTTTGGGCACCCTACACAATCAGTACTTAGTAACACCTCCTCTGGCAGAGGAGGTGTGTAAGTGGTCATAACATGAACTACAGTCCTGTACATGTTACCCTATGAATCTGTAACAGAGCAGAAATACCAGTGTGTGTGAATTATATCCAACATCCATTGTCCACCACACAATCATTTTTTCCTCCATTTTGTTTACTTTCCTTAAGGTAGTGAAATGGAGCAATGAATAGCTCTGTGCTTCAGTTTTGTTGGAGTTAAAAAGACCAATGGCTGCAACTCTCAAAACTGCAGCTCACATTTGCATTTTCATGCTACACACTCCAGAACACAAAAACAAAGTAAATCAATGTTGTGTCACTTGGAGAAAGTGCTAGCATGGAACATGTTTGTGTCTTTAATCACATTATTCAACAAGCGAGTTCAAAGTACAAAATCAACAATTTTAAAGTTTAAATGTATAGTTTATTTATGCATTGTGTAATGTCAGACTTTAACTGTCCTGCGCGTTCTTTTATGAAGACTAATCGGACTCAAATAGCACCTTTCAAACATTTATTATCATAACTGAATGGACCATTGAATAGAGCAATTTACAGAGCTCTGGGTTCCATTTCTCTGAAGCCCTATGTGGATGTCTGATCACACCTCCCTGCTGGAATGTGATCTACACCAGGTGTCTGTGTGTATGTGTGATGTTAATTTGTATGTTAAACTGGCCAAGTGGTCATCTCAGGATGACGAGCCCTCGGTCTCTGCAGGACATCCCAAGACAAAGCAGAACTTGCAATATGTTAAGTGGGTCTGTGTGTGAATGCAAAACAAGCCGACTTGTCTTTGTTTAAATGTGAATGGGCTGTCTGGTCGCGGAGAGGTGTAGGCACCAAAGACAGCTGGGGACGATATGTGGGTTGTTAGATATGAGACAATGGTATGAGTTTTATAGATGTGTAATTGTATCACTTTTGGTATAAAAGGGACTGCCCTTTACCAGTCAGATAGAGAACTCTGCGCGACTGCTAAGTTGTGTACGACTTCCCTCCATGCTGCATGAAATAAAAGACGTCTTCGAAGCTACGTTAACATCTGTTCAAATAAAAAATCACCAAAATCTGTTATTTATCAAGGGGTGCCTAAACTTTTGCATAAGACTGTATTTGCCCTCCTGCTGCTGCACTGTGACTAGAGGGTGTGGAGAAAAATACAGGGTCTGAGGTTACTGCATGTCTGGGAATGTTCCTGTACACGGACCCACTGTTTTACCTGACCAAGTCAAACCTATGCTCAACTGGCCAGTGAAGCCCCCCTGCAGCGGTGAATGACCAGCTCATAAACACTAGATTCCCTGTGGAGCACAGTACCTGTTTGTTTTAACTTTTTGAGGCCAGTGTGTGTGCTGCATGTAATGTGTTGCCAGTTAACGAGCGAATTAACAATCCATGATGTTACTGTCAGCACTACCCTACTTTGGGTCATGTGGGGGAAGATGCAGCAACACAGTTGGATTTCCTGAACTTGGAGCTACTTGAAAGGGAGTGATGTTTCCACTACTCTGTGGGACTTAACTGTAAGTAAAAAACAACAACAACAACAAAAAAAAACACGTTGCATGTCTGTCAATGCCTTGTTTCTGTAAGGCTAGAGAAAAATGTTTTAAGGCTGGAGAAGTTACTATGTCTGCAGTATGTCAGTTAAAATATGGGGTTTCTCAATTAGTTGCTTTGTTTAGAGTGTTATACATCTCTTTTCATCAGTACATATACAGTTGTTTACCTATCTATAGAGGAGAAATTCAAATTAATTAATGCCTTTGCAGTTTGTCTAGCTGTCCACTTGTGACACAACAGCAATGGCAGGAGTTATGCGCATTCACAAACTATCCTCTCATTTTTAGGAAGAGGCACTCTGGTTTTATCATTCTGAAACTATTATAAACTATTTGGAGTTATGAGGGGTGACAAGCTGTCTTGCTTTCCTTTAAATGTAGAAAATTAAGGTCCATCCAAGTTTTAATGTCAGTTAAGCAGTTTAGCAAGGGTTGTAAAGATTCCCTTCTCTCTCTCTTTATTGGCAAATACATTTGCACATCATTGCCAAAGTAATGAAGAGACATTATGCTTCATAAAAATTGCCTCCAGGGTTAGCAAGTACAAAGAAATATATATATGGCTCAAAATGAACCCCTGAGGGACCCCACAAGAAAGTGGGGCTATGGATGAGGAATATTGACCTATCTGTCAGATAAGAATAAAACCATTTAATGGCAATACTTTAGTAGCCCTCCAATGCCTACAAACTGTCATAGAAGGATCTGGTGAGCCACAGTGTCAAAGGCTGCAGTCAGATCAAGAAGAACTAAACAGTTTCCAGAGACAGCAGTTAAAAGAAAATCATTAAAAACTCTTAGCAGAGCAATTTCAGTACCGTGCTGAGACCTAAAACCAGACTGGAATGTTTCACAGAGGTTAAAATGATTTGAAAATGAATGAAGCTGGTTCAAAAAAATTTTCTCTAACACTTTGGAAAAGAATGAAGCTGGTTCAAAAAACTTTCTCTAACACTTTGGAAAAGAAAGGGAGTTCAGATATTAGCCTGAAGTTGGAGAAAACGGAAGGGTCCTGATTTTTCTTTTTAATTAGGAGTTGCACTATGGCATACTTAAAGGCAGATGGAATACACCCAAAACTAAGACAAATATTAATCACAGAATACCAGACCCAATAATGTTAAACACCTCTTTAAATAAATGAGACAATAAACATCTCATGAATTTGTTATGGAATTCTGTAGATCATATAGACTCAGTTGTCTGACTCAGTGAGGTAAGAGCTGGAATTACTTTAAAGGTAAGCCAGAGAAAGTCTGTACAGGAAGTTACAAAAGCTGAAGGAAATGCTTCTGTTGACATTTGACTGCAGGTTGTTTTGGTTCATTCATCTTTTGATGAGTGCAATCCTGATGAAAGCATCATCTCAAATCATTAGGATTAAAATATAGGTAAAACTGCATACCATCTGCATAAAAGCAGTAATAGTTCAAAATATTTCTCCACCTGATTATATAACTTAATGGCTTCCTATAAATAGAAAACAGTAGTGGTCTAAGAATGAAGCTCTGGGGCACCCCACAAGACAGTGGGTAGTTTGCCAGCTTAACAGAAAACATCCTGTTAAAGATGCACAAAACAAACCATGTGTATGTGCACTACAGAACTTACAAAGTGTTCACATTTTAGTAGCCCTCTAAGCAGCAGACAAGTGGTGTCACAGTCCTCCTCTCATTGTTCGTGGAGGTTTGGATGAAATTTGACCCTTCTTTTCAGCTTCAAGTATCTACAGGTGGAGCTTGTAAAGAGACAGAGTGCCATAAGGATAAAGTTTTTTGTAGGCCAACCCTGAAGTTGGCATCACCTTGGTTCTATTGACAAAAAGCCTATGTGGTTTTTCCATAGGCTTTTGGATTTTTGCGGAAAATAAGCTTTGTGACAAACAATAGTTTATGACAGTTGCACTTCTGTTCAGCAAGATGGTTGCCACAAGTGAACATCATTTTTATGATTTTTGCAGCACAAATATGATCGCCAGAACTAAAAAGCTATTGTTATGCTATAAACAAATTCTACCACGGTCCCAAGACTTCAAAGTCACCACCATGACTTCCATCTTGTAATTTGATTTATAGCGCTTACCTTTTATACAAAATCCTGTCCTCTTACCTGATCTAGCTAGTGATCACAGCTGTGTCAGCTGGAATAGTGTGCAAGTGCACGAGTTTAAAAAGCCGTGTGACGATGTTTGCCTCCCACAACCTCTGTAGTCTCATTTAGCCACTTGTTAGCAACCACCTTTTTTAAGACACTTAAAGCATTAAAAATCACAAGTGACATATTTACTGACATATTTTATTTCATTTACTTAAAGGGAATCGGAAGTGTAAAAATGCTAAGTCAGTTATGATTTTTAGGACTCACTACTAAGGCACTCTCTTACATTAACAAGGGCAGCATGAGATATTACCTCCCCTACAGCTTATGATTCGACTTGAAGAGTTAAATATAACGGGTATAAGATCAAGACCTTATTTTTACAAAAGAAACCTGAGAACAAATTAGATGTGCTGTATACAAAATCAAAAGACAATTCAGTCATATGAAACAGTCATCACATACATATTTATACACTGATTACAACAGTCACAAATAGGCCTATTGTTAAGAATATCATATCAGTGACTACAACTTTAATATCTCTTCAAGGAATGAATGTCTCTTAATTCAGTTTGTTTTGCAGTTCAGTTCTGTAGCAAGGTGCACTGTACTGGAAGCCTTTCTTCCCCAGTTCAGAAGGGAAGCATGAGGAACCTTACCATGTATGGTCTCCTGTCATGAAATTACAGCCTACATTTTCACAATATTTTCAGTTTATACTGTGCATATCTTATGAAAACCTAACCCGTGTGAGTCAGCTATAGTGCCATTTTCCAGCAGCCAATAATAGCCTGAAACCTTAGTGCTACAGGATTTAGTTGACCAGAATCACATATTGAGTGACAACTGTCAGGTCCAAAAAATTTAAAAGGGCCAGGGTGATCAATGTGTCTTTCACAGCAACTCCAAATTTGTATACATTTTGGACCATATTTCAACTGAAAGTATTAGAGATAAATTTACATACAGTTGCTTTAGGTTTGGGCTCAGTTTCATAATAAACACCTAAGGTTCTTTTACTCAACAGGTAAAAAAATATTCTATTCATAACTCATAACTGAAATTCCTGTATGTGTGCTCAGTGCTCATTTATGTCACTGTCCTCACATTATGAATTGCTGCAAGTTTGTCCTAAAATTATAACTGTGTACAGATGTCAAGCAGACTAAATCCATGCTGCCAGAAGACTGAGATACTAATTAAAATGTGCAGTTTCAAAGCCCTCTTTAACTCAACAGTAACTAACCCTTCTTCCAGATATCATGATCAATTGTGACAAATGTCTTATTAAACATACAAACAGTATTTTAAAAAAAAGTTCAGCATCAACTGGAGCCAAGCGAAGACAACTTAGGACACTGAAGGGCAGGCTGTCCTCTGTTCAGTGCTGCAAAGGACTAATAAAAAAGTATCTGTGGGGAAGCAAATGAATGAAACATCGTTATTAAAGTTTGTGTACAGATTGGAAATGAGTTTTAATTCTTTAGATGTGATGAGCAGAAACTCAAATCTATGGATGATAGTGTTTTCAAAGACGTTTCAGGTAAGTCTGCTAGTGTTTAAATTAAGGGCGTATCTTCTAGTAAGAAGCTAAGTGTGGTTAATAATTATCCACTGATAAGAGAGTTCTACTGCCACAGCCATGGCTGTGCCATTTTAGTTCCACATTTAAACTACATCAAATGGAAAGAAAACAAGGGTCTACTCAGTGAAGAGGTTGCTGTTGTAAAAACAAGAGCTTTGCCACAGCTCTAGAATAGACTACTTAATATAAATTTGCCTTTGTTGTTGTTTTGATTTGACTTTCAATTATTTATAATAATTTTTTATCAATTTAGCTTTATTCCTATAATAATGTGTTGAGCCCATGTGTTGCCAGTGGGGAAATAGTTAGCGTTTAATAGAAAGGTAAGGGGACAATTTAGGACATTGCTTTGTTTATTTGATTTTTGGGTTTTAAAGGCTGGAAGGGAATTTTACTTTCTAGAAAATACATAAATAACACAAAGTCTGAGTCTCATATTTTTAAACATGTTTTTTAATTTAAATGTTTAGGTTCAACAATAAAATATAAATATAAAAACGAATTTATAAAACAGAAATTAAATTTAAAGGATTTGTATAATTAGAATGATATTTCTGACAGACAGCCTTTGACACAACATTAGCCTATCACATAGGGACATGTGCACAGTTAGCCTACTTGATAACTGTAAATAACTGTTTAAAAATGTGATACTGGAGAATTTTATAAACAAAGTTTCCTGTTGGATGTGATTACATTCTAAAGTAAATTGTAAGTCCAGGCTACATGTAGCTATTGCGAGCAGGCCTTGGAAGAAAAGCTTCATTGCCATGTGTTTTAAATGTAAGGGTTTATAAATTTGGCAATAACTCTTTCATGAAACCTCACCTTTCCACAATCCCCCCAG